AAGAAAGAAAGAAAGAAAGAAAGAAAGAAAGAAAGAAAGAAAGAAAGAAAGAAAGAAAGAAAGAAAGAAAGAAAGAAAGAAAGAAAGAAAAGAAAAGATGATCTCTCTCTCTCTCTCTCTGGGAAGGAAGTGAAAGTCAAAATAATGTAATCTAGAGGATCATAGCTCAGTGATCTTTCACACAAAGCTAGCAAATGGGACCTGCAGGCAACATATCATAGCAACCACAAAGCACAATGCTGTGTTTCTTCGGTGACCATCAGACAGTAATAAGACTTGCTTTTCCTAGGAATGGCAAGGTGTCCAACCACTGTACTCTTCAGTGATGGAACTTCCCACTGCTTGAATTTCTCTGTGATCCACATCACATTCTTTCATTTTCCATGACCAGCTCCTGTGTATAGTTCCTATCCAGATACTCTGAAAGGGGTATCGTAAGAATCTAAGTCACTGAGTACCTGTGGCTCATGCCTGTTATCCTAACAGCTCCAAGTACCTGAGATCTGAGGATAGTAGTTCAAAGTCAGCCTGAGCAGGAAAGTCTGTGAGACTCTTATCTCCAAATAACCACCCAAAAGCCCCAAGTGAAGCTATTGTTCAAATGGTAAAGCCCTAAGCCTTCAGATAAAAAAGTAAGAGACTATACCCAGATCCTGAGTTCAAGCCCCAGTGCTGGCACAAACATTAAAAGGAATGCTAAACTACCATTGATCCTTGTTTGGTCACCTTCTAAATATATCAGTCTCAAATTGTATAAGTCCTTCTCAAGGATAGTGCTTTGGGTAGGAGGTGAGACTCTATCTGAATAGTAGCCAGCAAAAATCAGGCCTGGAGACATGGCTAAGTGGTTTACAAATAAAAATAGTAACAATATGAGATGTTCTCTTGCTGTCGACCTCCCAGATAAGGGGAAAAGCAGAATGTTTTCTTCCCACACCAGATCAGGCATGTTCTCACCAATTCTCCACTCTAAATTTAAGGCTTTGAGAGGTATGGGTTATCATACAGCTAGAATTACCAGCCTTTGCCATGCTATTAGATTTACCCGGTTAATGTGTGTTTGTCTGTCCTTATCTATTTCCCTTTTTTTGCTTTTGTTTTTGTTTTTGTCAGTGGTGGGGCTTGAACTCTGGGCCTGGGTGCTGTCCCTCAGCTCTTCAGCTCAAGGCTAGTGCTCTACCACCTGAGCTACAGTGCCACTTCTGTTTTTCTGAGGGTTTATTGGAGATAAGAGTCTCATGAACTTTACTGCTCAGGCTGGCTTTGACCTGTCAACCTCAGATCTCAGCCTTCTAAGTAGCTAGGATTACAGGTGTGAGCCACTGGCACCCGGCTTTCTCTCAGTTTCCCTTTTGTGTTCCTTCTTCACCATACTTTTCAACTGTGCTACCACTCCTTTCATAATTTCCAGTGCTGTTCCTCTCTCTTTCTGACCTTTACAGTCTTTTCTCTATTCCTGAGCATTTAGTATTCAGGCTTCTAATCCACCAGCTCCACCAGTTTCCCAGAAGTGTCTATAGCCTGTGTTTGCTGGGATTCAACGTGTATCATACAAAATATAGTAATTCTTTAATTCATATTAAATAAAATAAATTTTACTGTCTTCATTATAAAAAGTAGACTCTAATTACAGTGTAAAATTCTTCTAGATGTAACATGTTCTTTTTTTTTGTGTGTGTGTGTCTGGTCATGGGGCCTGAACTCTGGGCCTGGGTGCTGTTCCTCAGCTCTTCAGTTCAAGGCTAATGTTCTACCACTTGAGCCACAGCACCACTTCCAACTTTTTACTTTTGCTTATGTGGTGCTGAGGAATTGAACCCAGGGCCTCATGCATGCAAGGCAAGTGCTCTACCACTGAGCCACTTCCCAGCCCCAACAGGTTCTTGATTCATGGAACAACACATGTCTTAGAGAAGACCCTGTCCTGGGGTGCCATTCATGTGTATGACTCAGATGTTGTATGTGGTATAACTTTCGCCTCTGCAATTCTTTATTTCTGAAAACTGACTACATGGGGAATCTAGTTGTTATCCAAGGATTTGACAATTTATCCCTCAAACATTTTGTTTTCTGCTAGTATCCTTCTCCAATTAAACAATCATATACAATTAGGAGTGGGTCAGTCAAGCCTGTAATCCTAGCTATTCAGAAAATCATGATTCTAAACTGTCTCCATCTCCGATAGTCAAACGCTAGATTGACTCTGTAGCTTAAGTGGTTAGAGTAATAGCCATGAGCAAGAAAATTGAACGAGAATGCAAAGTTCTGAGTTCCAGTCCTGGTACTAGCACAAGGAAAAGAAAGAAAAGAAATAATACACAGATATAATAGATGTGAAGGTTGAGAACACAAAGATTGTTGCGACTCATGAAATATTTTCGTGGATCAAAAATCATTGCTTAGTATAGTAATAATATTTAGATTTATAATTCATTTTAACTACACCAAGAGTTTGGTAAGTTATTCACAAATGGCAATGTACTATATACTCAATAAACTATATTAATTCCCTATTTAAACAATTTGTTTTTTCCCTTCTGTTCCCCAAATTATACCAACATCAAATACAGTGAAAACAGGAGTTATTCCATGGGGGAGAGACATACAAAGCAACAAAAAAATCACATGGTACCTTATAAATATGGTAGAAACAATAACAAGAAAGAAAAAAACCACTTGTGTCCTTATCTTGGGGCTCATTTCACTTAACATCATCTGGAAGGGATGGTAGGGGAAAATCAAAGGAGGAGGCAACAATGATTGATAAGAAATGTACTTGTTACCTTGCTCATGTGATTGTAACCCCTCTGTACAGTATTTTCACAATAAAAAACTTATTTTAAAAATATTTTAATTCACCTTTCATTATCTAAACTGAACAACTTATTGCATGACAGTGAAAGAAGAAAATTATTTGGACTTGAATAGTTTCAATAAAGACTTAGAGAATGCTAAGTGATGTTATAAATTCATATCATATGGATATTTTGAATGTAACTAGCTATTTCATGAGTATTACATAATTAATGTTTTATGTGTATGTCTTTATTGTTTATATTAAACAGCAATAGTAAGCCTTCAAAAATAAAGACTTAGGATATGAAAACGAACAGAAGAAAAATCATATGGGGAAATATGGGGAGTGGCAAGGAACATATATATCTGGAATGCAAGAAAACTGTTATCCTTGCTATTTAACCAGACTTCACGAAACATTATAGAATACTGGAGAATAAATATTTCTAATAATGAACAAATTGAAATAATCATTTTATAATGAATAAATAAAAAGCTATTGTCCTGCATAAAAGTAGTAGATTTTACCTGGTGTCAGTGGCTTATATCTATAATCCTTTCTATTCAGGAGGACACAGTGTGAGGATTCTGGTTTGAAACCAGCCTGGGCAGGAAAGTCTCAACTCTTGAGACTCATAACTCTAGTTAATAAATAATTTAATTAAGATTTAGATTATGAGAGCAAGCCTGACTCAGTAAAAGAGAAATAATTGATTGGTCTCTGTGTTATAATTAGTCTGCATACTGGAGTCAATGGGAAGGCAGTTATTTTATGAGAAATAGTGCCATGAAACACATTCCTTTAATCGTAGTTTATTGTAACATTATTCCACATGGAATAACAAATGCACAGATTTCAAGGATATTTAAAGACTCTATGGAAGGCATTTTTTACCTCCTTGTTCCTTAAGCTGTAGATCAAGGGGTTGAGCATGGGGATCACTAAGGTGTAAAACACAGAGGCTACTTTATCAGTGTCACTGGAGTGCATGGATTTGGGCTGCACGTACATGAAGATTAGAGTCCCATAGAATACCACCACCACTGTCAAGTGAGAACCACACGTGGAGAAAGCTTTCTTTCTTCCCTCTGCAGAACGCATTTGACACACAGTCCACAAAATCAGCAGGTAAGATAAAAGAACTACTGAAAGAGAGGAGATTAAGTTAAATGCCGAGAACAGTACTGTCAACAACTCTGTTTCTCTCACGCGTGTGCAGATCAAAGGCAATAGGGGGACCACATCACAGTAGAAATGACTGATGACATTAGAGCCGCAGAAGGTCAAGGTAAAATACTTAATAGGGAACAACAGAGCCTGAAAGGCACTGTAGAGGTATGGGATGCCCACCAGCACACGGCAGAGCCTCTGAGACATGATGACATGGTACAGCAGAGGGTTACAGATGGCCACATAGCGGTCATAAGCCATGGCTGACAAGACTGACAGTTCACTGACGATAAACATAATGAAGAACGCCATCTGGGTGGCACAAGCGTAATAGGAAATGGTATTTTGATCCACAATAAAATTTACCAACATCTTGGGACAAATGACTGTGGAATTGCCAAGATCGATGAAAGCCAGGTGTCTGATGAAAAAGTACATAGGTGTGTGGAGACGGGAGTCCAGCTTGGTTAGAATGATCATGCCCAGGTTTCCCACCACTGTCACTGCGTAGATAAGGAGGAAGACCCCAAAAAGAGGAAACTGAAACTCTGGCTGCCTTGTGACTCCCAAAAGAATGAATTCAATGGGTGTTGTGAGGTTCTGTTGGCCCATTGTTATAGTCCAGTGATTGTCTCTTCTAGGAAAAAGCAAGAGGGAGGTTGGTTTTTTTTTGTTTGTTTTGTTTTTAACTTTCCTTTCACACCAACTTCTATTTGCAGGTAGAAAGTCAACTTTTATTCATAATATTGGGAAGAAAATTTCTCCACCTGTAATTGATAGAGGAATTAAGAAGAGTCTTTAGCGTACAAGAATGACAACTGTAATTCTAACACTATTTGCAACTGTCAAACCAAGGATTCAGAGTTGGATACGAGAAGATGTGGAACAGATGCACAAGACAGTGAGTATTGTTCAGGAATAAGGAGATACAGAGTGGCTTAGAAAGGCAAAGCCAATGTTTAGCAATAGGAGACACCAGGAAGTAGGCACTCTAAAGGGGAGAATGGGGTCAAGGGGTTAGAGGAGGACAAATAAAGAGAAAAAAGATGGGAAGAATACAGCTAAGAAACCAATACGTATTCTATAAAATGAAGAAGAATGAGGGAAGAGAGTAAGGGAAGGATGGGTGAGAATGTTGAAAGGGGTGACACTGATCAAGATACATTGTATTTGTAAATTGCTTTGACGAATGACATCTTCTTTGTACAACTACTTAAAGATGATTTTAAAAATAAATATGAAAGGACAGTGTGTGAAAACTAGACATCATTGTCATCATCATTATCATCATCAGTGTCAGGCATGATAATAAAAGGGTGTTGTTTTAGGGAAGACTCACTGAAGAGTGATAGGGGAAAACAAAAATATGACAAGGGATAGATATGATTGAAGTATGCTATATATAACAAGCGGATATAAAATACATATATTTAATGAAACAAATGTATATTCATAAATAAATATATGCAATATATGGGATACATGTAAATGTGTGTGTAAATTAAAAATCTATATACAAAATAAACTGTACTATATATACTATACATATGAAAATTTATTATGTTAATATGCACATAAATAAAATATACAATAATATTTTATTTAACCACATATATATAATATATAATCATTTGCATATACTTTATATGTTTACATTCTAAACAACTCTTTTACTTTTAAGTTAATCAATTTTCAATATTACTATCAATCATACAAAGTTATTTCCAAGGGCTCTTTTTATCAATAGAAGATAAATTCCTAAAGACAGGCTGGCTGGAGTGAGTCACATCTCACGTTTTTTATGTTTGTCGATCACCTTCTGTTGCTCTGTTTTGTTACTTTGTTGTCTACTGCAGAGACAATAATTGTTGGAGGGTAGCTGGTGATAAAATTGTTTTTCTTTATAGTTGTATACTCTTTAATAGATGTACAGAGTGGTTAATGTTCAACAAATCAGTTCATAAGTACAATGCATCTTGAGTGATATCAACCTTACATCATTTTCTCCTTACTATCAGTTCTTGAAAATAAATTAGATTTTGTTTAGTTTTTCTTTGCCCCAATATCATCAAAATCCTTCAGGTAATTTCAATTTGTAAAAGTTGGAATAAAAATGGTTTTATGATGTATTGGAAAGAATCATCACAGTTACTATAAGTGTATTTACAATGATGTTAGAAATAATGAGAAATTATCCAGACCAAGGTGATCATCAAAATCAAAGAGAACTCGTACTATCTACTTACTGTTGAAGAAAATCTTTCTTTCCTCTGTCATTCATGTTTTTTCTTTGACTAGGAAGAATTTATGGTTTCCTTTACCCTTCTTGGTATTCTCTGAGGAATTGCATACTTCATTCATGCAGATCATTATGCTCAAGTCTTTTGAGAGACCTAAAAATTGGTGTAGTGATAGTCCTACTAATTGTCTAGAACTCTACACATTCCCTAGTGAGATAATGTGAGAGACAAGCAACAGGATTATAAACAACACAAATTATCTGTACAATTCTGTGGAGAACTATACAATAGAAAAATATTCACTAAGTTAGTTACAATGAGTCAACAATTAAAGTTGCAACTGTCTGTACAGGAATTCCTGCAGGCAGGTAGTCATTGTAGTAACATATTCAGTTTAAATAATTATAGACTGATACATATATATATATTATACATTTTTTCAATATATTAACTCTCTGGCTACTGTTGGATAATATTCAGTATAATCTTTGTTGATTATACTGTTTGATAGAATGCACAATCTCTCATAATACCGAATGACATACTCTTTCTGATTTCCGTATGTATTATAATTAAAAAGTTATATAGTGAAACATGACTCTACATTGCACATAGTCATAAATCTTAAGGAAATTTGGACTGTTTCATTTATGCTTATTAACCATGCTTAATTTAAACAGAGAACATTGCAATGTCAACGAAATTTGTACCCTGCTTTATAACCTGTCATTTCATATCTATCATAAGAACGGTTTTTCTCATGCCTTAATGCTCCCAATAAAAATTTCAAGTGCCAGGCAAGTAAACTTTATCCCAATCTCTCATTCCAATAAATGGACTCAGCAAATGCTACTCTTTTCTTCATTTCATTTTATTTTCCTATTACTGGTGATTAAATGTAGGTCCTTCAGGTTTTAAGGTAAACACTGTAATATGTAACTTTATGTCTTTTGGTTTATTTTATTTTTGAGATGTGATGTAGCTTAATTGGATGGACGGAACAAAATTAGTAATCTTTCTATCCCTACACCTGGGTAGCCCAGACTGGGTCATATGCCTCCATGCCCGGTTCCAACCCATTTTCTTGATCTGATATTGTACAGTGTTACTTTTGGAGTTCATCCATGCCGTGTTTGCTCTGCTGCCTGATATTCCCTTTAGGAATATACCACAATTTGTCCTCCATGCTCACCACTGGTGAATGTTTGAGCTTTTGATTTTCAAGGGAAGCTTAATACACACTAATACACACTGGTAAGAAATAGTAGATGGGGAAAGTGAGAGGGGTAAGTGTGAGCTATACACAATGGGTGTATAAAATGCTACCTGCAGGAGCCACTCAGGAGGCCGGGATTTGAGGATCTTAATTTGAAGTCAGCCTGGTCAATAAGCCAGTAAAAAGAAAAGGAAGTGGAGGTGTGGCTGAAGTGGTAGAGGTGCCAGCCTTGGATGAAAAGCTAAGCATGAGACATGAGACGCTGAATTCAAACTCAACTACCACTACACACACACACACACACACACACACACACACACACACACACACACACTATTTACACTTCCCTAATGACTAAATATTTTGCATATTGTTTCATTGATTTATTACCAATTTATTCTTTTGAGAATTAACAAATTTTCCCAATGATTGGTTGGATCATGTTCTCTTCTAGTGTTTAATATTTTTATATTTTCTGTACATTAATCTCCTATAAAATGAAAAGCTGGAGATTCTTTCTTCTCTTTAGGCTATCTTTTGTATTAATAGCTTCTTTGGCAGTGCAGAAGGTTTTCATAGTGATAAAATGCCATTTGTCAATTCTTTATCTGAATTCCTGAGCTATTTCAGTCGTAGGTAGAGCATCATTGCCTGGTCTTACCTCTTGAAATGTTTCCCCTTTCTTTTTTCTAGTAATTTTACATTTTCTTACAATAAGGTGGTTGGTTTATTTCTTGAAGTAATTTTTGTATTCAATTGGAGACAATATATTAGTTATAGTTTTCTACATGTGGATATTCAGTTATGGCAGCGCTGTCAAAGTGTCTGTCTTTCCCCCAACCTCCATGTATTTTTGGCATCTTTATCAATAAGGATCAGATGATCCCAATTATGTAGGCTTATTATTGAGGAGTCTGTATTGTATCCCATCACTCTGAAAGTCTTTTCTATGGTGATTTTCATTACAATAACTCTGCTATACTACAGCTTTGGCCTAAGGATTTCTTTGAATGTTCAGGGACTTTTTCTGAATTTTAAGATTTTTTTCTGTTGCTATGAGGAATGTCATTGTAATTTTGATAGACCTGACTCCAGTCTGCAGATCACTTTTAATAATATGACTATTTAAAATTATTACTTTTTTCAATCTACAAACATAGGCTATCTTTCTATCCTTAGTATCTGCTAATATATTTTTTTAAGTTCAGAGCTTATAGAACTCCTTAATATCTTTGGAAATGCTTATGTCTATATAATTGTGAGGCTGCTGTTAATGTTTTCCTAATTTCTTTACAACAGTTTATTTTGTGTGTGTGTGCTGGAACTGGGGGTTGAATTCAAGGTGTCATGTTCTTGCCTGGCTGTTTTTGCTCAAGGCTGGTGCTCTACTACATGGGCCACACCTCCTTCTAGCATTTTTTTGGTTAAATGAAGAAAAAAGACTTATGGTCTTTTCTGCTTAGGCTGATTTTGAAGTATGATCCTCAGATCCCAGTCTCCTAAATAATTAGAATTACAACATGGCCCACTACTGATTTTGGATCCTGTAATTTTGCTGAAAGTTTCTTTCTATCTGAATCTTTTGGTGTATTTTTAGGGTATCATAAGCATAGGATACCATTAATTGTGAATAAGGATTCTTTTCATTTCTCTTTATTCAGATACCTTGGCCTTCCCTTACTGTAGTAAATAAGATTTCAAGAACTGTATCGAACCAATCATTTTTGATAGTCCTCTTATTTTTAGCATGCAATACCAAGTCTGTATTATATCCATTGGTAATGTTAATTCTATGCTCATTCTGCATTCTAAACAAAAAAAAAATAATTGGATCAACAACTCAGCTGGGAGATTGGAATCCTTTCATGAATATGCATGTATGTGGGTGTGGGTGTGTGTGCATGTTTGCTGGTTCTTAATAAGCCTTCAATGATAGCAGCACTTAGCAGGCTCTTTATCATGCCTGTCTGCCTTACAGCATTGCTTTTCATCAGACTAGTAATATCTATTTGTCATGTAAGTGATGAACAATTCTGAGTTACTTGTTTGAAATTATTGTTTCTATAATATCTTACTGAATTCAAGATTACTCCATGGCTTTTTTAAAAAATTAAGTGCTTGCATTAATTACACACTTGAGAATTTAGCTGAGTCTTGGGAATTAAAAAAAACTGTTTAAGAACAATCGTGCCTCCTTCGGTTTCCTTTGTGACTGTGGATAATGCTTTGACTATATGATGGGGCTCATTAGAATTGGATAATAATATATGTACACATATATACATATATATTTGTGATTATCTTCTTTTTTATACTCTTACAAGACAGTGTTTTTGCTTTGTTTCTTGTGTTCATTGTATGTCAATTGTTAGTATCTACCTCTATTTAACCTTCAAGCAATCCTGTTTTGAAAATAGTTAATAACCTCGAACACTATGTGTTGCTAGCTGAAATTGTTTTTAAATAAAAGGTAAGACTCCATGGATAAGGGAATGAGGTTTCTAAATCTATTTCAAATTCTTTTTCTTTTGGTAAGTTATAATTTGTGTTGTTAAAATAGTGTGTTGTTATTAATTTGAATTATATCTTATCGGAAGCATTATTTAGACAATTTTTATTTGACCAAATCACATGATCGTCCAATGGTATACCTAATCGTTCAATTCTGTTTACAATGTCACTTTAAATTGAATCAAGTTAGGTATCTTAAGAATAAGCAACAGAACTAAATTTCTACTCTGTACCTAGAAATGTTTCCTTAATTAAGTTTGGAAATTAGCACAATTTAGTTAGATAAATTTTCCTTGAGAAAGTAATATTTAATTGATTCTCATAAACAAAGGGAGGTAGAGGGCTTGAAAAGAGCTCTGACTTAACTTTCTACAGAGATGTAAATGTAGTAGAGTATGTGCTGTTAGAGACAGATGACACTCGCTTACACATGCCTATTTTTGCTTTGATTGGGACCAGCTCAAACACTAGAATATAAACTGAAATAGATATCCCTTTGTTAAAAAATTAGTAAAGTACAATAAATTATTAATCTTGCACAGATAATAAATATTTTATTACTGCTTTTATGTCTAAAACATTTCTACTCTTAACTGACTCTATATAGATTAAGAGAGGTAGAACTAGAAAGAAAGATAAACAATGCTCAATAGGAAATGTACTCATTACCTCACTCAGATGTACTCATTACCTGTAACCTCTCTGTACAGCATTTTTTACAATAAAATGTACAAAAAAAGGAAAAAAGAAAGAGCTGTGTTCAATTACAAGCATATTGCTTTTTATAAAATATAACACACATATTTTATTTAAAAATAAAAGTAAAGTGTATTTATTCAAACATCATATAACCTATGTGGTCTTCTAAAATTGTTTCATTGAAACAAAGAAAAGATGCTGGTACACAGCTGGTTGAGTCTACTGAGTCTTCAATATGACAAGAACTTAGAAACAGTAGTTCCTGAATGCCTTTTAAAGAGTGTCATGACCCATATTTAAGGGCCAGTCCTTGTTCCTAATAACATTTCTTCATCTCTGGTTATATCATGATACATACATAGAATAATCACAGCTTATAGTCCAGTTGTTTGAAAAATTGTTGGTTTGTTTAAATTTTAAAATTTTGATCTTATCAGCTGCTTTTTAAAAATGAAGTTAAAAACCTGTGCTTAAGATCAATTGTGCAACAATGTCACCCCTCATGGTTGTAACTCATCTTCTTAGAGCATTAAACACCCTAACATTTTTGTACGTTTTTATTGTAAAAATTCTGTACAGAGGGGTTACCATTACATGAGCAAAGTAATGAGTACATTTCCTATTGAGCATCGTTGCCTCCTCCTTTGTTTTCCCCTACCATCTCTTCCCTCCCCATTTTTGAGAACCAAAAATGTCTTTAATGTATTTCATAATGGAATTGAATCAGAGCTACCACAGAAAAAATAATTAAGAGATGATATAGCCAGGTGCTGGTAGCTCATTTCTGCAATCCTAGCTGCTCACGGAGGGAGAGATCTGAGAATTTACCATTCAAAGCAAAGCCAGCCCAGGCAGAAAAGTCGGTGAGACTTTTTTCCCTAAGTAATCAGCCAAAGAAAGCCAGAAGTTAAGCTATGGTTGAAGTGGTAGAAAACCAGCCTTGAATAACAACAACAACAAAAACTAACTGACAGGGCCCTGTCCCCAGGTTCGAGCTGAATACCTGTGCATGTGTGTACACAAACACAGGCATGCATACACAAACACCTACACACACAAGAGACATGATAGTCACATTCCTCACACTTCAAATGAGAAGGTTTTGGTTCAGCCAAGTAATCTAGGTTTATCTAATGACACAAATATTTGATTATGATTTTAATAAATGTCCGATCCTTCTGTGCACACTCGAATCCCTTTCTTGTCCACTTCAGATTTTAGGGGAAAAAAAGGTAAATGGCAGAGGAGAATTTGACGGTCGTTTCTGAGTTTATTCTGCTGGGATTGACAGATCAGGCAGAACTGAAAGTCGTGCTGTTCGTCCTGTTCCTGGCCATCTATGGGATTACCTTGGTAGGGAATCTGGGCATGATGCTGCTGATCCAAATCACCCCCAAACTCCACACGCCCATGTACTTTTTCCTCAGCTGCCTTTCATGTGTGGATGCCTGCTACTCATCAGTTATAGCCCCCAAAATGCTGGCCAACTTGATGGCGGTGAAGGGCACCATCTTCTTCTCTGCCTGCCTAATACAACATCTGTTTTTTGGGATATTCATTACCACCGAAGGCTTCTTGTTGTCGGTGATGGCTTACGATCGTTACGTGGCCATCGCGAACCCTTTGCTTTATACCGTGGCCATGTCTAAGAGCAAGTGTGCTGTGCTGGTCGTTGGGTCATGTCTAGGTGGGATAATCAACTCATTGACACACACCATCAGCTTGGGGACATTGTCTTTTTGTGGACCTAATGTCGTGAGCCACTTCTTCTGTGATATTCCTCCCTTGCTAAAACTGGCTTGCTCTGACACATCCATGAATGAATTTCTGCTTTTAACCTTCTCTGGAGTCATTGCTTTGGGCACTTTCTTGATTGTGATCATTTCCTACCTATTTATTGCTGCTGCCATTCTGAGGATCCGCTCCGCTTCAGGCAGACAGAAAGCCTTCTCCACTTGTGCCTCTCACTTGTTGGCTGTGACCGTATTTTATGGTACCTTGAGCTTTAATTACATCCAGCCAAGCTCCCAGTACTCGGTCGAACAAGAGAAAGTGGTGTCTGTGTTCTACACACTCGTGATCCCCATGTTAAACCCCATGATTTACAGTCTTAGGAACAAAGAGGTGAAGGATGCTGCGAAAAGAGCCGTGGAATTGAAACACCTGTCGTGCTGAGTTCCGGCCAGAGTTCAATTCTGCAGCATTCCCCCTTGCCAGTGTTCACAAGAACGCATATGAATGCAAGGGATTCTTCTTTCCATGTATCAGAAATGATTGTTTTCTTAATAATCATTGTTCACTAGAAGAAACAAGACTAAATATTGAAGTGACTGGTACACCGAACAATTTTATTTCCAAAAAAATCGAACTTAAAATTCAATTCTCCTGAGATTTGAGGCCACACACACATATCCTGATATCTATCTTCAGATATGTGTTTTGAATTTCCGAGAACTGAACGGTTACATGAGCTCATGAATACTTTTAGAGATATAAAGCTGTAACCCTTTTGCATGAGATTTTAAAATGCGTTTTCTCAGAAATTAAAGTAATACTATATCTGATATTTGACTTTATGTTTAAAATATATCTTAAAATTTAAATGTAGGTAAAATTTGTATGAGTAACTGTGAGGTTTTTTACTATCACTGAGATTACATCTTAGATTATTTGACTTCTTTTCTTCTTTTCTTCCTCTTTAAGTATCCATAACCTAATGAAAAAGAAGTGGGTTATATATAACTACACACACACACACACACACACACACACACACATACACACACACAGTTTATAATATGACATTCCTAAAATATTTTCTTAAAAATCATAGATTCATGTGTGCAATGACACCATGTTGGAATTGGTGGAATTTCCAATCCATGTCTATCTCCAAAACTCTCCTTCATATGCTTTCCAGTTTAAAAAGAAAATAAGAAGGAGCTTCAAATCATTTAACAGGTTTGTTTTTTAATGCTTCTTTTGTGGAGACAGGGTCTTACTATCTAATCCTATTTGGCTTAGAGGTTACAACTCATCTGCTTTTGTTTGTGCCAATGAGTACAAATGTTGGCACAAATATAAGCCTAATTTGCCTACTGGTTCAGTTCTGTGATATATTACTTGATTGCATAACTTCATAAATCCTCATCATTTTAAGAATGGATTAGGTTAGTAAACGTGTAAATAATATTGTACTGGCTTTTAGAAATTAAATTAAAGTGATATTATTTACTTTTTGTGTGTTTGAAGTTTGAACAAAACTCAGTTGTTAAAAAATAAAACTAGCAAGGCACCAGTGGCTCACGCCTGTAATCCTAGCTATTCAGGAGCCTGAGATCTGAGGATCATGGTTCAAAGCCAGCCCAGGCAGGAAAGTCCGTGAGAATCTTATCTCCAATAAACCACCAGAAAACCGGAAGTGGTGCTCTGGCTCAAGTGGTAGAGCACTCGTCTTTAGCTGAAGAGCTGAAGGACAGCATCAAACCCCAGAGTTTAAGCCCCATGAAGGGATGACATTGATCAAGATGCATTGTACATAAAAAAAACCTCAGATGTTAAGATGAAACCTCTCTATATGTCTACCTAAAATAATAAACTTGTTTATTAAAGTGAATATTTTCTCCAAGTGTTGCACAAATATTCATTTTCTAGGTCACACTTGACAGGGCAATGGGGAGTAACATACTAGAAATACATTAAATATAAATTTTTTTTCTTTCCTGTCACTAACACCATCAAAATCCACTGTAAAAGCTGTTGTTTTTCAGGTTGGAAATAAACTTTACAACTGGTGAAGTGTGGGGGGCGGAGTCAGGGGAAGAGGAAAGATGGAAGAAAAATGAAGGTAGGATAACAATTTTTGACAAGAAATGTACTCATTACCTTACATATGTAACTGTAACCTCTCTGTACATCACATTTGCAACAAAATTAAATTTTTGAAAAACCTGTACTTTTTCTTTTCCTTTTCAACTCATGGCATAAGAAGATAGGCTGATTTCAAGTGACTGTGATATTCATTCATGTGGGATGTTAAATTCCAAGATACGTACTTCTGAGGAGAATAGGCGTCCTTCTGTGTTGCTATTGTTATCGATAGTGCACAGCAGTGATATTTTCATTCTAAATAAAAACTAAGGGAAGAAGATTTTTAGTTTAAGCATGTATATAGCTTCATTCACAGACAACTTACAGTATATGCATGAGTAAAATGCCATAGTGAAACTCTCAATATTTGATACACCTTCACATAACAACTAGCAAATCCAAACGTTATCATTTCAATAGAATTTGAATTGCTTAGAAAAACAATTAAGAAAACAACTCAAGAGAACCTATTAAAATCCCACATATTAAGAAAAATTTGTTCCACTTAGAATTGATATAAATGAAAAAGGTTTTCAATAATGGGAATCCTAAACACACCCAGAAAATTTAGGTTGAAACATTATTATCATCAAGGTTGTTATATGCTCTTTTCTATCATTGATTTGAAAAATCCCTGATACAAGCCCTTTGTTGTCTAATAATGTTAGAACTTCAGGATGTGGGATCTTTTGTGGTTAAATACAGTATAGCTATATTATCCTATTTTATGATTTGCCTTGATTTTTATTGTTTCTTCTTTTGTCAAGAACTGTGAAATTTTAATAAAATTTAATTGATTATTTCTTTTGACTGGTATTCCATTTTTAAAGACTGCTTATTATAAAAATTGCTGCAATGAACATGGTTGTGCTGGTAGCTTTAATGTGGCCTGGTTTGTGGTCTATTAGATAAAGGCCCAAGACTGGAATTTCTGGGTCAGGAAAGCTCTATGTTTAGTCTTTGGTTTAGTCTTTGTGGGAGTCTCTATACTATATGTAATCAACCCAGATGCCTCTCAATGGATGAAAGAATCAAGAAAATGTATATATCTATCTCTCTCTATATATCTTATATATATATATATATATATCTTATATCATATATATATATATATATGCAATGGAAGTCCATGCTTCCATCAGAAAGACTGATATTCTATCATTTGTAAAGAAAGCAAAATCTCAGAAAAGTTATATTAAATGAACTAGGCCAGACTCAAAGAAACATAGGTTGCTTGGTCTCCATCATTTCTTGTAAATAGACTGTGACTATAAATCTACAAGTAAGCATATTAATGGTAAAAGATAAAAAATACACTTGGACAGGATAGATACATTATACAGGACTCTGGACATTGATACAGTGAGACCAAAGGAGGATATTCTTAGGAGAAGATCTAAGTCTCAGTAGCTATGTGCATGTGGTCACATAAAATGATATCTATGGAAATGAACTGCCAGAAATGGAAACACTTCTTTTGTTACTTTGGGTTTTTTTCTCTTTCTTTCTCTTTTTGTCATTGTTTTTGTTTTCTGTACCTTTTGTCTTGTTTGTAAGTTAATCTATTTTGGGGAAGGCACAAGTGGAAGCAGTGAAATGGAGGGACAAAGGATGGACAACTGTTGCTGTGAAACTAGACACTATTGAAAATGAGCTATACAATTGGTGTGTGGGTGGTGATGGGAGGGGGAAAACTGAGAAAGTGAGGGAAAGGATGAAACTTTTCAAAAAGAAATGTACTCCTTACCTGACTTATGTAGCTGTAACCCCTCTATACATCCCTTTTACAAAAACAACAAATGAAAAAGGAAAAAAGATTTTTTAAAATAATTAAGCCAATTAACAATTTTTATAAAACACATAGTCTTTATGCATTTCTAATGCTTTAAAGTAAGTTTTTTTTTGGTCAGTTGTGAGGCCTGAACCCTGGGCCTGGACATTGTCCCTCAGCTGTTCAACTCAAGGCTAGCACTCTACCACTTGAGCCACAGGGACACTTCTGGATTTTTTTGCATATGTGTTGCTGAGGAATCAAATCCAGGGCCTCATGCATGTAGGCAAGTACTCTACCACTGAGTCAGCTTCCAAGCCCTAAAGTAATATGTTTAAAAAATTAGTCCAGGAATGATCGTGCACCACAGTAATCTAAGTTTATTGGAGGAAAACGTATTATCATCTAAGTCAACCACTGGGCTGAAGAACATGAGACACTGTTTCAAAGAGAACTAATGCTATTGTCATTGAACTGATGACCTGCTTAGAAAATTATGATGATAGCGAATACATTATAAAATATTCAACATTATTTAGCAATCTTCCTCTGAATATATGCACTCCAAATATCATTACTTCAGAAAGTTAATTTTACCCAATGTTTATTGCAGCAATACTTATGAAACCAATTCAGCAGATGACCTAAGAAATCATATATCACTTTCATAAATGTATTTATATGTATTCATATATATATATATGTATATAGATACATAGTATTTTTCAGCTTTAAGTAGAGCCTGCCAATTGTGATAACACAGATGAATCCAAGTGGTGCTATATAATGTTTGATGAAGATAGAATATTAATCTGTATGGTTGTTGATAAATACAGAATAAAAAAAGTAAAAATGCATGAAAATAGAGTAGATATTGTATCCGTACTCTGGCATGTTGAATAACAACCAATTGTACAACTGCTTAAAGATAATAAAACTATAATTAAAAAATAAAGAGTAAGGAATGCTCAATATATGGCATTGGTAGTGGATATGAATTGATCAAAAGTTACAAGCAAGCAGTTAAGTATATTTGGAGAATCTAAACTCTAGCTGTATAGCTTTGGTACATAAGCCTATTAGATAAATTAGATAGATAGGCAAAGAAAGCAGCTTCCAGGGACTTTTACTAGAAAAGGAGAGAGACAAAAGGAAGGAAAAGAGACGAACTATGAAAGAGAAAGAGTAGAAAGGAAAAATACATGAAAGTTTAAGTTGCATATCTTAAATGCAAACACAAACAAGCAGATATTGTGAAGTAGCCTTTATCAGTAGCATAGTTAATTAAAATAAATATCCCATACTGAATATTAAATATGCAAATTACACAGAATCTTAAAGACCCTGTGGAAGGCATTTTTAACCTCTTTGTTCCTTAAGCTGTAGATCAAAGGGTTAAGCATTGGGATGACCAACGTGTAAAACACAGAGGCTACTTTATCAGTTTCAAAAGAGTCAGTTGATTTGGGTTGTAAGTACATGAAGAACAGAGTCCCATAAAACACAAACACCACTGTTAGATGAGAACCACACGTGGAGAAAGCTTTTTTCCTCCCTTCTGCAGAATTCATTCTACTTACAGCCAACAGAATCAGAATGTAAGATACTAGGACTATGAGGAGGGAGGAGATCAAGTTAAATGATGAAAATGCTATGATCAAGAATTGTATTTCCCTGACATTTGAGCACAACATAGGTAATAGAGGAACATCATCACAGTAGAAATGACTGATGACATTAGAGCCACAGAAAGTCAAGGTAAAAATCTTAATAGTAAACAACAGAGCTTGAAACGTACTGTACAGATATGACATGCCCGCCAGCACACAACAGAGCCTCGGAGACATGATGACACTGTAGAGCAGAGGGTTACAGATGGCCACATAGCGGTCATAAGCCATGGAAGACAAGATGAAAAATTCACTGATAATAAACAGCAGGAAGAAAGCCAGCTGTGTGGCACAGGCATAATAGGAAATGGTATTTTGATCCACCACAAAATTCACCAACATCTTTGGGCAGATGACAGTGGAATTGCCAAGATCGATGTAAGCCAGGTGTCTGATGAAAAAGTACATAGGTGTGTGTAAGTGGGAGTCCAGCTTGGTTAGAATGATCATGCCCAAGTTTCCCACCACTGTGACTATGTAGATGATGAAGAAGACCCCAAAAAGGGGGAGCTGCAACTCCGGCCGCCTTGTGACTCCCCAAAGAATGAATTCAGTGGGTGTTGTGCGGTTCTGTGGGTCCATTTCTGCGAGGGATCTTTCCTGAGAAGAAATGAAAGAATACTTTGCAACTGATATCCAGTCCACAAAAATATATTTGTAGACCAAATGGATCTTTTCCTTCATAATGTAGTATTAAAAAATAACCCCATCTATGATCTTGAAACTAAAAGATGATTATTTCTGAAAAAGAGCAATGTTTCCATAAGACATACATTTTAATTTCATAGGCTAAGCTTCACATATTTTGAATATGTTTGGAGTATATCCATCCATAACGAAACCCTACGAAGATTAATGAGAACTCTTAGAGTTTATTCTCTTGGCACCAAGGCATCCAGATTTTTTCTTGAAATACACTTATAATTTCTGTTCATTATTTCTTGTGAAATTTTGACATTCTTAAGTATAGAGACAGAAAATATGAGTCTAACAAACCTTAATTTTAGAGTCCCTGCTTCACATTCACAAGTCGTGGGTTAGATCCTAAATTACACTGAAAATGTAATGTAGCTTTGCAGGTATTGTTAATGTAACACACTTTACCTGTGGCCAATTGTGCTCATTTTACCTTTTGCTACCAATGTCATTCTATTGGAAATAAAGCAGGAGATGGTTTGCAGGGAAGAAGATGGAAGAATGAGAAGGTATTGGTCAAATGACACAAACTATCCACATATCTAGAAAGAGTATTTTTGGGCTTCTGAATGTTTAATGAATCCATGCCAAACATTTGCCTTTATAACTAAACAATAAAAGTAGAAAAGCTTGAAAAGATGTGTTGGACTATTCAAATTTCAGATATTATGATATGTGCAATAAGTATTAGAGATTTCTCTGTAACTGAAAATCATTTCTATTCATATTTTGATACATTCAATTAATTCATATTATTAAAAATATTTTTTGTTGGTACTGGCATTTGAACTCAGGGCCTCATACTTGCTCAGCTTGATTGATTACAAGGTACTACACCAAGCAAAAATCTCCACCAATGCTTTTAAAGATTATTTGGTAAATAGAGTTATGCTAATTTTTCTGCCAGGTTGGTTTTCAATAATTAGCCTTTGGAGCTCAGTCTCTTGAGTAGTTAGTATTACAAATATCAGCCACTAGCATCTGGCTTCTACAATTTATTCTTAAAAACAAAATGAACAACAAATCAACACCAGTAGCTCATGTCTGTAGTCCTAGCTAATCAAGAGTCTGAGATCTGAGGATTGCAGTTCAAAGCTAGTCTGGGCAGGAAAATGTGTGAAACTTTTATCCCTACTAAACTGCTCAAAAAAGCTAAAAATAGAGTTGTGGCTCAAGTGGTAGAGTAGAAGCCTTGAGCGAAAGAAGCTCAGGGAAAGTACTCAGGCCATGAAATTAAGCCCCAGGACCATCCCTCCCCTCCCAAAAAGAAAATCACATAGTAAAAATAAATACACAAAAATTCTGCAACTTATTTACATGTTATCCTTAAATAAAATTATATTACATTTTAAAAATAATTTCAGACTATAATTGCATTCATTTAAATGTTAAAATATTTCAAGTTTATATTAAATGATCATATTATATGGACAATACTTTTTTTTAGCACCACTTGTTCAGACTTTGCCTTCAATATGTGATTGTTGTTCATTGTCACTGAGGACACACATCAATTATTATTTCTTACTTACCTGAAGATCAAATGCGACTTCTCCTAGAAAATATTAACCTTAAAGGATTCCAGTACATGAGATCAATAGTGATCATAAGAAAGTTAATTTGAGAAAGTTGCTCTCATAAGTAACTTAGATGTAGGGTATATTAAATTCATAGGATTTAATTCCTTCAAAACACCATATGATTCCAGGAAATGCCGTTGAATGTACTGAGGATTTCCAGTCCATTTGTAGGAGTCAGCTCTCAGATAAAATGTCTACATTGTAGATCCTAGAATCAGACAAAACCACTGTCACCCAAGTGATCATCAACATCAAAGACAATATTAAATTGCATGCCTTGGAAAGTCTTCAGTTTTCAAACCGCTCTACCTTTTTCCTCCTGGTAGGAAGAATTTATGATTTTCCTTCTCCTTGGGATGTTCCAGGAGGGAGTTGCTTGTCATTATGCCAAAATGATCTGAGAGACTTACCTTGACTTTCTTGCTAATTGTCTGTGATACTTAGCATATTCCCCAGTGAGAAATTTACACATGCATCCAGGAAAGGAGAAAAACAACATGAATGATTCCTATGCCCCATGGAGAACAATACAATTTAAATATATCCATGCCATTCCTTAAAGTAACAACAGGAGATTGTTTGACATAAAGTGTATCCCAATAAAACAGAAATATATCTGAACTATAACTGAATTATATATGACATGACTGTTATCATATAGTACTTCTTGATCATGAATAAGTTTGAACTCATGACTTTGTGCTTGCTAGGCATGCTTGCTGCTCCTGAGCCACATTTACAGCCCTTTGTGCTCTGTTGTATTGTCATTCTTGTTCTCTACTGAGGATGGAACTCAGGCCCTTGATCTCAAGCTTGACCATTTCTTTTTTTTGGGGGGGGTCCAGTTGTGGGGCCTGAACTCTGGGCCTGGGCACTGTCCCTCAGCTCTTCAGCTCAAGGCTAGCGCTCTACCACTTGAGCCACAGCGCCACTTCCGGCTTTTTTCTTATGTGGTGCTGAGGAGTCGAACCCAGGGCCTCAGGCATGCAAGGCAAGTGCTCTACCGCTGAGCCACCTTCCCAGCCCAAGCTTGACCTTTTCTGCACATAGCTGGTGTTCTACCACTTGGCTCTGCCTTTAGATCTGGCTTTGTGCTTTTTTTAAGGAGAATCTCATGAATGTGTTTGCCCAGACTAGCTTTCAACCCCTGTTATCATACCTATAATTAAATATAAGTCACCAGAATCTGGCACTCTGAGTCCATGAACTTTTTTGCCTGGGCAAAAAAAGATTCATCTTTTAACCTAAAGTTAGAAGTTAGATATTACCAGTCCCATAATCAGAACACACCAATATCAAATATAATGGATAAGCATCAAATTATAATTGCCCAAACATAACATAACTGGAAGAGGTAAAATTAGTCATTGGTGACTAAATGAAGAGTCATTCACTTTGAGATGGCTAAGTATTTGCCTTTCTTGTTTTGATCATCCCATAATAATTATGGCAATATTACTATAATGACTACCCAATTGCAGTATTTTCTGAAGATACATAAAACTTCTTTCTCTTCGGAATGGCACTCACCCATCTCTCAGGACTGAATGACCCATGTGATAAAACTTCTTTCTAATAGCATCCCATACCATTTTATCAAGAAAAGTCATATTCTGACTTCCATATGTATAATAAATAGTAGGAAGTTGATCTAAGGTACATGAATTATTATCTGTATAGAATGTATTTTATTGTGCTTATTTCACAACATTCAAATCAGGACACAGAGAACTTTAAATAACAAGGAAATTGTCCTCATGCTTTACATGTTATGTCTGCTATACCTTATCCTCCTAAAGAATTTTGCTAATACAGTAAACAACTATTTCCCATGGTCAGGTTACTGTTCGTCTCCCTAAACTGTGATTTTCAGCTCTTGTATTTCATGTACATAGAATTATGTGACATTTACTCTTAATTTGATATTTTCTTTTTGTTTTAGGACACTACTGTTTGAGCTTGTAGACAGACCCACATTTGGGAGACTGGTGCCTTATCTCTTAAGCCACACTTCCAGTGCGGCTTTTTGTTGGTTATTTGGGTCATGGAATCTAGCAAACTTTCTTGCTATGTCAGACCTTCACCTGTATTCCTCCAGATCTTAGTGTTCTGAGTGCTAGGAGTATAGGCATGAACTACTGATAACAAGCGACCAATTTTTCTTAAATTTTAAAATAAAAATGGGTATCTCATTACAAGTTTAGTTTTTATTTATTAGCTAACAAATAATAATGACACTTTTCCAAACACTTGGTCTTCATTCACTTTTTTTGTTACAAATTGTCTACATGTTTGAACATTTTAAAGAGGGGTTTGTTTTTTATTTCAGATTCAAACATTTTTTTGTAAATAAAACTTTTCCTAATTTTCTTCTAGATGCTTTATTGGCTTGACTATTTCTTTTCAGAGGGAAAGTTTTAATGCTCTATTTATGTTTGAACTTTTATTTACCCTCAACTTAAAAAGATTTTATAGAGGTGTTACAATTTTTTGTGTCTATCAGAGCACCCAGGGTTTCTTAATCAGAATCAATATTCATGAGTCATTAGTCTATATATCAGAGTCATTATTCTCCATCCAGTCTGTTCCTTAACCCTACATTCATTTTTCAGGTTCCCCAACTCCTTTAGGACATATACACTCTGAGTATTCTTGCTACATATCTCCCTTAATCCCTATCCAGTTCATCCATTCCTCTAACACTAGCTCCTCCCCTTCACAATCTACTATTGGCTTCATAGTCATAGGTGTTTCTTTGACTGACGATTCTTCTGTGGTACAAAATGCAAGTCTATTACCATTTGAGGAGGGAGTAAATTCTCTACCACCCAAGACCTTGGTGTATACAAACTGGACTTCAATGCAGAAGATGGATTGGGTCAGAAAGCACAGGAAGCTCTTGTGAAAGCCTCATTTCAATGTCTACATGCACAGAACCACTGAAAGTTCAGCAAAGGAGAAAAACAACTAAAAACTAGTCTTCACTGCGCTTTGAACCAAACTCTATTTTTTCTGTATATTTGTATATCAAGAAACATTAAAAAAAACTCTCTATGACATGAAAAAATTATATTTTGGAGATAATTGAATTTTGTTATTTATGACATGATTTTTGGTGATATTTGTTCTCTCAGACATTTTTATTTTAAGGGGAGAATTTTCACAGTTTTGCTTACATTCTAAATTATTTTCTGTTGGTGCTTATACAATGATCTCTTTATTGTTTTAGCTTTTTCTAGGCCAAAAACATAAATACTGATAAATATGAAGTGATACACAATATCACTTCATATTTTTAGGTATTTTTTTTTAGTATTTGCTTTAGGGTCACCAAATTTGACAGATTTTTTTCACAAATGTTACAGGTTATTCTACCCCTTGGCTCTCTTTTCTGAGATTTATTCCTCATGTTACTGTGACTGGGATTGGGAAAAACTTTATTGTCCTTTATGTCAGAATGATTACATAGAGTTTGTATGAGATTTTCATCTGATTTTCTTAACTGAGATATTCCTTCAAAAATAAAAGTTTAAACCTAGAAAATCCTTTAGTGTAATATTTTACTTGCAGTAAGGTAGAGTTTTGTTTGGGCAGGCAGGCTTTAAAAAATGTTTTTGCAAGTTAGCTTCCATTTACTGGAATTAATTATTGTTGAGGTCTGTTAGAGCAACTGATTGAATTCTTTCCTCTTCGCTGAGTTACTGTGTCCTTTGCTGTCTCTTAAAATTACTCTAGGTTTTTAGTGATTTTCTTCAGCCAAAATTTCCAGAAAACTGTTAGTTTTATCACACAAATTTTGGAAAAGTTCTTTCCCCCCCCGACATTTGCATAGTAGTTATGTTAAATATATAGAACTGTAAGAAAATAAAGAGGACTACCAAAGTACCAGCTCTGATTCAAGATTTAAAGTGCTATGTATTTCCTTTTCCATCATTTTATATCAACTCATAAACTGAGGTCTTAATTGACACTCACAGGTTGTACTGATGTTTGTAATTCAAACAAAAATATTAGACATTCTCACAGAGTGAGATAAAAGGAAGATATTGTTAGGAGAGGATCACAAAGGCGAATAGTGCATCTGATCATATACAATAATATTTATTGAAATTAATTCCAGTAAATTGGAATCTTCTTTCTTGCTGCTTTTGTTTTCTTTTCCTTTAGCCTTTTGGTACATTTATCTGTCTTTGGGAGGGAAAGGGGACACAGAAATCATGAGACAAAGACTGGACAAATATGGTAGTGATATTCACTAGATACCATATTGAAAATGAACTCTACAACTTGTGGTTGGGAGCAGGAAGGGAAACCTGGAAGAGAGCAAGGGAAAGGGTAACAGTGCTAAAAAAGAAATATACTATCTGACTTATATAACTGTAGTTCCTCTGCATGTCACTTTTAGACTAATAATAATAAAATTTCAAAAATATTAGACAGTGTGATAATGAGCAGAGTTGCCAGACCAGCATTGTTAATTGGAATGTTTTATTTTTTGTTTTTTGGGGTTTTTTTTGGTCAATCATGGGACTTGAACTCTGGGCCTGAGCGCTGTCCCTCAGCTCTTCAGCTCAAGGTGAGCTCTACTACTTGAGCCACAGTGCCACTTCCGGTTTTCTGGTGGTTAATTGAAGATGAGAGATTTACGGCTTTTCCTGCCCAGGCTGGCTTTGAATCACAAGCCTCAGATCTCAGTCTCCTGAGTAGCAAGGATTACAGATATGAGTCACCAGTGCCCGGCTAATTGGAGAGTTTTTTTTTTTTTAGCTTCTTTTTTTTAATTTAATTTTTTTTGTGTGAACATACTGTACAGAGGGGTTACAATTACATGGGCAGGATAATGCGTACATTTCTTATCAAACATTGGAGCCTTCTTTGTTTACCCTTCACATCCTTTTAATTGGAGAGTTTTGTTAGGCTCATTCTTCTTGGAATTAGGCTGCAATCTTAACAATATTAGTGCGCCTTGTCTTTATGTTTAGTAAACAGCTCATGTGAGCACTGCTTTGTTACTCTGAAAATCCTTTACTGAATAAGAAGACAGTTTTTTGAAGACATCATAAAATAATATTATAATGGCATGAGAATCTAATGAGATTTTTTTGAGAAGTTATTCATCATATCAACTGGATTCAGGGAAAAAGGAAAAAGTACATTGAATAATCCAGATATGAAGAGTACTTTTTAGTCAGAATAATTAAAAATCAATCTTAAAGCATAAATGGTACTCATTAGCATTTAAGAAGAAATTGTATATATGCCCATGATACAGAATTTCCAAAAAAAAACAATAAATCAGCAGTTGTTTTGGCTATCAGGTCAGCCTCAATCTGATATTCATTTATTTGGATATAGGACACTAGCACAGTCTTCTTAAATAAGATTCCTGATATGAGGCTGTTGCTTTTGCATTTATAATGATACACCATCTATGTAGACATAAACAATTATTTCCCAAATGTCTACTATTGTAGACCGTACCCAGTCACTTGACTTCCACAGTACATATTTACATGTAGACATGCTCCTGAATATATTTTATGTTTTAAAAAACATGTTATTAAGAATATTTCAGCATAACCAGACCTCTGGGTCTGAAGACAAGCAAATGGTTATTTGGCTAAGCCTGGCCATGTCTTTTTCCTGAGGCACACATAAGCAAGCTAAGATCCTGATCACAGAGAGAAGGGACCAGCTATGGCCAATAGGTGACATCTCCCTGCCTTTGTGTGGTCCTTTACATCTAAAAGAGAAAGAGACCTATTTAACATGCAGCAGAGCACTTGCTGGTCTGAATGAGGCCACTTCTAGGTCTCTGCAGCTCTGTAGCAGCCAGGTCAGAGCAGGGCACTGCCCAGTGGTAACCAGGCCCGGCCTTGCTGACCTGCCAGTAAAAACCATGTTGCATGGTGGATTTTCTATGTTGAACTGCATTAAGACAAACACAATATTAATAAAGACCAGACCTAATCGGGACCTCTGCATCCACTGGCATCCATCTGGAGCCACTTCCCAGGGTACTGGCATTCAGGCCATTTGAATAAGGTCCAGTCTCCCAGGAAATGACAGAGAAATATCTTGATTTCTGTTAGACAAAAGTCAGTCGAGGCAAATTTCCACACACTTTATTGTTGGGTTGTTTCAAATGTTCAAGTTAAGTCAGCTGTGAAGACTGAAAGCAGATTACTGATTGTCTAGGATCTAAGGTGACAGTATTTAGCAGAAGAGAGACTTTACTACCAAGTCCACACTAGGTTTGTTATTTATTTATTTTAAGGGTATGACAAGATTATGGTGATTTTTGATGAATGGACTGTAATGATTGACACAGTCATTGCATTTTATGCTTGGGTGAATTCAATGGCTTATGAATCAAATTTCAATTCCTATCACATAAAATCAAAGGAGGACAGCCATTAATGACATTATTTGGTATTGTTCTTTTGGCTATTATTCTACCTGAAATAAAAGAACAACCTATATGTAATGCACTCATCAAGAAGTAGAATTTTTTATGTTTATTAAATACACACTGTTTGTGGGTAGGTGATGGGAGAGAAAAACACAGAAAGACAGTAAGAGAAGGGGTGGCATTGTCCAAAAAGAAATGGACTCTTTACCAGTCTTATGTAACTGTAATCCCCCTGTGTGTCACTTTTATAACAACATTGAAAAAAAATTAACCCCCCCCACTGTATCTTTATGTTGAGAAAAGTATGTAAATTGTAGTGGCTGCAAAGAATAAGGATTGACAACATCTTTTATGGTGAATATTTATAAATCCATTACTGTGAAAACAAGTTCTTAAGAGATGTCCCTTAGGGATGTTAAAGAATAATTTTAAGTACCAAGATATTCTATTCCAGAAGAAAAACTGTAATTTTACTTCCTCTAGTGTACAGAGACTTCTATGGCAGAGTGGCAAAACCTGCATCTTTTTTTTTTTTGGCATGATGAATTATTCAAAGAGTTATAGAGACTGTTAAAAATAGTTCATTATCGTTTCCTAACTATATGTCACATGTGTTCATTGAGATTTCATAACACCATACAAAAAGCTTTGTTTCATATAAATGAGGAACTTGATTTTAAGGGCATGCAATATGAACTTCTGCTCAAATATGATACTGGAAGAGCAAGCAATCACAGACTCTTATCAGTGATTTGCTCTTATTCCATGGTGCACCATTTACAAGTAATAGAAATTAGAGTATATCTTCCTCCCTTGTTTTGAATCCTAGCACTGTATTGATTTCCTGTAGAAAATCCAGATAGTTGCCCAATTGTCATTTCTTCCTAGTTTATGTATAGCTATTTAAGAAAACCTTGGTCTGAGTCTGCCATCTTGTGGCTATGAGAAGTAACACAGGAAAAACCAGAATCTGGTGAAAGTGTTTCCTTGCCCATTTCAGGGATATGACCTGCTCTTGTCGCACACTTGTTCCATCCTGGGAAGTATGGCTTATTTTGCTGTGGTTTTCAATATAGAGTATCTTAAGTGTAGCCTGCTTCATAATAGAATTGTTCTTGGGAAAGTTTTCTAATATTCGAAGTCAAGTCCCACCGAAAAGCTGAATGCATTTGTGTTTTCTATTTACATGGCATTCACGCAAAGTCTGATGTACTTCATGTAATTAATAATAATAATAATAGTATTAAATGTCAATTTCAGCACACAAATGTTTCACAGGATTTTCCACAACCTGTCAAGAGCAGATTTGACATCTTTGTTCCTCAGGCTATAGATCAAGGGATTCAACATGGGGATCACCAGGGTGTAAAAGATGGAAGCCACTTTATCAGTGTCAAAGGAGTGACTGGATTTGGGCTGCACATACATGAATATCAATGTCCCATAGAAGACAATGACCACGGTCAGGTGGGACCCACAGGTGGACAGAGCTTTGTGCCTGCCTTCCACAGAGTTCATCTTGAAAATGGCTAGCAGGATGAGCAGGTAAGAGAAAAGAACCACCACAAGAGAGGAAACCAAATTAAACCCTGCTGAGATCAAAATTATGATCTCAATTTCATGAGTGTTGGAGCAGAGCAAAGCTATCAAGGGCAGACTGTCACAGAAATGACTGACGACCTTGTAGCCACAGAAGTTTAAATTAAAAATTTTGACGGTGATGAGAAGGGACAGAAATGTACTGTAGAGGTAAGGGATGGCCACCAACAGTCGACACACCCTCTGTGACATGACCACGGTGTAGAGCAGGGGTTTGCAGATGGCCACGTAGCGGTCGTAGGACATGGCCGACAGGATAAATGATTCACAAATGATGAAAGCAAGAAAGAAAGCCAACTGTGTAGCACAGAGGTTACGCGGAATCGTGTTTTGATCCACCACAAAATTGACCAACATCTTGGGTCCCACTGCTGTCGAATAACCAAGGTCAGTGAGAGACAGATGTCTGAGAAAAAAGTACATCGGGGTCTGCAGCCTGGAATCCACCGTGGTGAGGACGATCATGCCCAGGTTGCCCACCACGGAGACCACGTAGATGAGTAGGAACAGCACAAACAGTGGCACCTGCAGCTCAGGATGATCCGTGATGCCCATCAGGATGAATTCAGTCACCACCGTCAGGTTGCGCTTCTCCATCCAGGCTTGTTAGATAAACCTATTCTGAATGAAGACATCACCACAGTCAATGGCTTTCTGGTGTTATTATCATTTGAGATTCTTGTAGGATGCAAAGTGAATGTAAATGAAACATATCCAAAGGGTCCCATTTATTAGATTTACAAGTAAATCGCTCTTTAAAAATAGTACTGCATTACTGGAATTAGAGATGGAGACAGAGATAGATCAGTGGCTTTCAGGTTGATTAGATTTTACTCACCAACTACCATTCACCAAAGCTAAGGGCTTATTTTTGTCACAAGAGATATGGGTTGGTATCAGAACCTATTCATTAGAGTTGGTTAAATAGGGAAACATTCTTCTGTGTCTAACATCCTCTCCGAATATCAATGAAGACAATTTGATAAGAAAGACAGACAAACTTACATATAAATAAGCAAACAGATAAAACATATTTAGGTAGATGAAGTATTACAGATATAGAGATGACCCCATATCAACATATATTATGAATAAATATAAATACATAGAAGGAAAATCAAAATTGAAAGTGTCCCAATTGTAATGCTTTTATACATAACTGTATTATACTGTTCTTTAGAGTTTTGTTCTTGTCAGTCTACATAATAGGTACTTCAGAGTGGCATTTGTACATTATTAACCACAGTATTTACAAAGACATTTAGTGGATGGACTCAATACTTGCAGTTCATAATTTTGCTCCCAAAATTAATCTAACACAAAATGTATCTTTTAAGCCATTAAGATTCTTGTTTTCAGTTTTGGCCCTATGTGAGAGATACAATTATTTACACAAAACTTGATAACTTTTAAGCAATTCTGGGATATATTTTGGAAGTTTTAGCAATGATTATTTTGGTGAATATCAGAGTTAATTTAGAGAGAAATAGAAAAATGAGAGAAACATTTTCTGCTCCCATTGCAAGAAATGAGTTAAATTCCTAGCCATAATGATCTACCTTTCTTTCCTTGACTTTCTTCTTTCCTTGACTTCCTTCTTTCCTTCCTTCCTTCCTTCTTTCCCTCCTTCCCTCCCTCCCTCCTTCCTTTCTTCCTTCCTTCCTTCCTTCCTTCCTCCCTTCCTCCCTTCCTCCCTCCCTTCCTTCCTTCCTTCCTTCCTTCCTTCCTTCCTTCCTTCCTTCCTTCCTTCCTTCCTTCCCTCCCTCCTTCCTTTCTTCCTTCCTTCCTTCCTTCCTTCCTCCCTTCCTTCCTTCCTTCCTTCCTTCCTTCCTTCCTTCCTTCCTTCCTTCCTTCCTTCCTTCGGCTCTCTTTCTTTCTTTCTTTCTATCTTGTTACATATAGATGCTTCCAAGTTTTTAGCAGTCTACCCATGTGATACTATTGATACACTAATGTAAGGGGAAAAAATGAATGATCTGTGTCTGCTTGGTATTGTTAAGCATGGATAAAGCTGCTCAAATATCACTAGAAACTGAGTTTCTCTCACACATAACAGGGGACAATTTCTATTACCTGTAATGAAGTTCTCCCTTGGCTCCAGCATAGAGTGCTACATGATTTAGTCACGAAAATTTATGGAGTCACCTTTTTACAAAAAATAAAAAATGTGAGATGTGAAATTCCCTGAGGAAATGGTAAGCAATTGCTTGGTTCTCCCTAAAGTAATTAAGAGTGAACAGAATGTCTGGAGGTTCTTCAGTAATTGTCACAGACCATGTTATTCGCACAGGTATCAGTAAGAACCCACTAGGAATACAGACCCCATAGAATACACATACACACATATATTTATGTATATGCATGCCCTAAAAGATGTAAAATACAGCTGGGAGCCAATGTCTCAAGTCTGTAATCCTAGTCATTCAAGAGGCTGAAATGTGAGGATTCAAAACCATGGTTCAAAACCAGCCCAGGGAGGAAAGTCTGCGAGACTCTTCCCTCCAATTAATCAGCAAAAGCCTGGAAGGGAGCTATGGCTTAAGTAGAAGACTGCTAGCTAGCCTTGAGGAAAAGAAGTTCCAGGACAGCATCTAGACCATAAGATCAAGCCCAGGACTGGCACCAAAACAAAACAAAAGCAAAAAAGAAAACCCACAAAAGATATGTCTTTTAAGCTATGTGACTATATGTGTGTTTGTTTACATGTTTATATATGCACACACATACATACATATATATGTTTTACATACATATGTCTTATTATTTTTAAGTATTGGCTTACCCTTTTATGAAAACTGAGAAATCCTGTGTTTGTCTCGAAAATGAAGTTTCAGGAAAGCCTGTGCACTATTCCAGACTAAACCTAGAGTGTTGAGGATCAGGGCAATCTATGTCCTAGAATGAAGTGAAAACCTAAGGAATTTGAGAAAGATGGATGTCCAAGTTCCAGCTGAGAGAAGAGTTCTCCCCCTTCTGCCTTTTTTGCTCTAAATGGTCCTAAGTGGATTTAATTGCTGTTCACTATCATTAAGAAACTCTAATTTCTTTTTCAGTCTACTGATTGAAATGGTGACTTCTAGAAACACTAGTCATAGACATATGAAGAAATCATGCTTATCAACTATCTGTGAATGACTTAGCCCACTTAAATTAATTTCCTTGATTCTACTTCATACCAACTTGTCACCCATACCCAGCTCTTACATGACTCTTTATCTCTGAATTAAGGCCATGCTAAGATCATGATTCTACCCAACACAATTCATTGGTCCTATTTATAATCCTAAATAAATTTCTTTCTTAGAAGAAGAGATTAATAAAAAGTCCTCCAGTGATTTCGTGAAGTTCCATATATAATAGGCTCTGATATAAAATTAACAATTCCTACATACCGACACAAAAATCAGTACACTATGTATTGCCTAATACTGTAATAAAAATGTACTAAAGCAAAGATGTTTGCCTAAAATACTTACCGAGAGAACATAGTCAAGAAAAGGGAGGAAAAAACATAGGCAGGAGAAGGGAGGAAACTAATGACAATCCTCATTTCTACTGCTGATTACATCAAGTGTCCATTTTTATGACAATATCATGATGCCTTGATCATAGTGGCTTTTCAGTATAGCAGTATAACATATCTGGCCTTTTTCTTTTTGCTATTTTTGGCAATTCAGTTTTTAAAAACTATTCTTGTACAAATTCTGGAATTTCCCCCCTAGTTTTCTACTTCCTGTTGGTGTTTTCATATTGATTGTTTTGAAACAGTACATGACTTTATTATATATTTTAGGATATCAGCTCTTTTAAATAAGAATGTGGTATATGTTCACCTATTTGGGTGTGCATTTTATTCTCTTCTAATTTGACAGCAAATATATTTATTTTTGAAACCTACTATAAATGGCATTAGTTTGTGGATTTTTTTTATCTCACACGGTCCACTCTTGGTACTCAGGAACACCATTGTTTAGGTTGATTCAAGTGTGTTAAATTTGTCATTGAATCCTAACAGGTTTCTCCTATAATCTTTGAGTCTTTCTATACCCAAGATCACGTAATATACAGAACATGACACTTTGACCTTGTCCCTTCCTGTTTGGATGTCCTTCCTGTCTTTCTCTTCCTTAATTGCTGTGGCTAGGGCTTTTGGACTTTTGAAATAAACATGATGGAAGACGGCATCTTTGTCCTGTCCAGATCTTAATGGACAAACTTTTGATGTTTTTCTCAACCAGTAAACGCTTCATCACTTCTTATAATGGCCTTTTTACACGTTGAGGTACATTTCCTCCAGATATAATTTATTGTTTTGTTTCCATCACAAAGTGGTTGTCTTTTATCAAATTCCCTTTCTGCATCCATTGTGTTCAGCCCTTTCTCACTCACTCAATGATAGCATCTTATTTATTTTTGTGTAGAACATCACACAATTGTCTTATATCCCTCTATATGTCTACTCCTGGCTCATTTTTCCCTAGCTTTCCAGATTGGAAGCACAAATAATATTTTACTCTATTTCTAACATATAGATTGTTTGGAAATTTTCAAGTGGATACTTAATCAAATATTAAATCACATCAAAATGGTTTATAATGCCACCATTTATGTGTTTTGCATTAGTAGAAATTATGTTTAATTTCCAAGTATTTGGAAATTTATTGACAACTCTTTTGGCAATTGAGATGTTTGATTTTTTTTCAGAGAGTAAAATTTGTATGACAGATCCAATTAAATTATTGAGTATGCTCCTGAATTTTGTTTATCATGGTCAATGCTTGATGAGAGCTTATAAAGAATGTGTATTATGCTATTTTTGTTCCCTTTCATTTACTTTTCCCTTTAAATTAAAATTGTGACAGTATATTTAGCAGTGTTGAATTACTGTACCAAAATTTTTCAAAAATTCTAGCATAATTTCTTCTGTCCATTAATGACAGAAGTAGTGAAATTTGCTTATTTGCTTCTGTACTTGTATCTGTGTCTGCTTCATATCATTTGAAGCATTATGATTCTGTATGTAGACATTTCTTATTAAATCTTGATTGATTTACTATTGTATTCTTATTGAATGAATTTTTTCTCCTATAATATTTTGTACTTAAGGAAAACGTGTCTATGAAAGTAGACATATTACTTTTTCATCTAGTATTAGCATATCATCAATTGTCTTTATTTAAAAATATTTGTCACAGAATGTATTGGTATAGACCAATAATTTTGGCATTTAGGAGGTGGAGACAGGCAGGAGAGAGTATCTTAAATGTGAAGACAGCCCAGTTTATGCAATAAATTCTAGCTAGTCTGATTTACACAGTAAAACTCTTCCTCCTCCTTGTCCTTCTCCTCTACCTTCTCCTCCTCCTCCTCCTCTTCCTCCTCCTTCTCCTTGGAGGTACGTAATACTACTGAGATTACTCTCAGGATCTCAGGCTTGCTAAGCAGTTGTTTTATTTGCATGATTCCTCTGGCCATATTCTTAGATTATTTTTCAGATAAAGTCTCAAACTAATACCCAGTCAGCCTCAGACCATGATCCTTATACTTTCTCTTTTCACTTACTGGTTTTTGAGACATATGTTGCTATGGCAAGCTTG